TTGTGTTTATTCTGACAGTAATGATTCATAGCTAATAAACAAATAAAATTTTACGGTGCAATCTATGCATAAATATACATGTATGTTTATGTTTATATTGATAGAATATTGCAATTATATATACATATTCTGAGTTATGTCATCTTTGTCTTCTTTCATTGTCTCATTCTATTTTATTCTTCACGGTCTGTTATCCAATTACAATGAAACGTTAAAAGAAATCATTTATTTTAATTAAGTTAAGAAATAAGATGAAATAATAATGATTGCATATTTTATTAGAATTAAATTTTGTAAATAGTAGATTGCTTCATTTGATCTTGTATAAATTAATAATTAAACAAGATGACAAAGTAAATATCCATAAACTGGAACTGTTCACAATTAAGGAATATTAAGTCAACAAAAACTTTCACCTCATAATAAATAGTTAAGATGTAAAGTCTAATTAAGAATGTTGTTCAAACAATAAAATTAATTAGGCTGAAGAAAATTTTCGTCACAGACTGATATCATCTGAAAAAACTAGTGAATACAAAGGAGTGTCAAGTAGCTGCTTCATCTTGGTTTAAAATTCCTCAGCCGTCAACACCCAAAACCATTCCAGGGACTGAACTCATGATTTTCCAGTTTAGACAGGAGTACACTCCTTAAGGATCACGGAATCAGATTCTGGTGATTGATATTTCCAACTCTATGTAAACTGTATTATAACGAGGTCATTGTCTAATGCTACCAGTGACTATTTGAGTACTCATATAAATCAGTTATACTAGTTACAGTTTCTCGCCATAAAGTCCGAAATATATTTTGGAGCAATTCACTATTGAGTTAAGTTTCTAATCTTTTATTAGTTCATGTCATTTCATGACGAAAATTATCTTCCAGTTAATTGTAGTTCAGTCGTATTTCAACAACAGACATCACATAGACATACATATCATAACCAACATCTTCACCTTTTAGTCATCATGTTTTATTTAACTGATGGACAAAGATACTTTCGATAAAAAATAAACCAATTCGTCATCAAATCACATACGGACACCCACCTTGAATATACATTTATCACTGGATAGTTACACTAGAAAAATCATCAATAATTGTTCATCATTGCCAATGAATAGAATTAATAATAAGTTGAATAAATGTCATTTAATGAGCAAATGACGAAGTCTTATCTGACTGAATATGAAGGTTAATTCACTATTGTTTATAATGTACGTCATTCAAGCCTGATATTGACTTTTTGTCAAGAAAACCACAAAGATAGTTGATACTAACTAAAAAGGTTTTGGTTTAATAAATAAAAAATCCAACTGTGAACACAATTTTGCCTTGGTAAAGTAAATGTCATAAGGTTGTATTATCTAGAGAAATGTTACTGAATGTATTATATGAAATAATATCTACTCTGTTGCTGTCAAGAAATCGAATTGATGACATTTTAAGTAGTTGTACTCAAGAAAACGCGGCCAAGTTATGCATCTAGCTTATCACGTTTAATGTTATGCTCATTCGATGATGTTCATTATATTGAGAAACAATATTTTGCATCAAATCAACTCAAACCATCTTATTTACAGACTCATCATTCATAAGTATCAATGGACAGCATTGAAAAACTAGCCGGTTCTTCTCTAGATAGAACTTTTCATTGTTTTACGCTCTAAATTTATTTTGCTTGGATCCAAACCAAGTCCTGTGGTTTCCTGTCAATGATCTACAAATATCTGATAACGGAACAGAACAAGCGATGTTGAATCCCTTGAATTTGTGACTACATTGCTCAGAATCGATCACAATGGCGTCGGTGTATACACTCCCTGTCTTCCCTTAAACTAAGAGATTAAAATCGCTTCATATCTTTCTTTCTACGAACCAATTCTTTCTTCTTGTACTATATCTCTATATGCAATCTTTCTCTTACATATTACTACCTTTGACCTAACCACTGCTATGAATCCGGTGTTCATCTTGTTGTGCTGATGCGGTATGGCAACCTGGACCGATGCACATATGTGCCTGGTCCTACGTTGTAGCTGACTGACTGACTGACTACATTGCTACTTAGTAGACAGAAACTCATCAGTTAAATATGGGAGAATAATAAGTGAACTTGGAATTTCGAGAACTATACAGTGAATTATTATATTTTTATCATGTATCAACAAGTATTTGGTCTATGGTATTTTTATGTTGCTCCAATAGTAAGCATCCATTTACATCACTAACTTTTGATCTATACTTACGGCTCAGAAATTAAAACTAAATAATTATACATCTGTTACCTAATTTGCACCACAGATGACCTAATTATGAATCTACTGAAACTTCTCACTTGTTATACGTTTCGGTGTTTGTTGGGGACGATAAATCCCCAAAACTCATATTTTGTAATTTCATCTTATCGATTAAATGTTTAAATATTTGTATTGGGGTCAATTGATGAACCTATCGATTAAATGTGCAAATAGGTCAATTGATGAACTCATTGATTAATGTTTAAAAATTTTCTATGACAATATCGATTGTAAATACTTGTATAAATACGCTTGATTTGTGTGTTTGACTTGTTTTGTTATCTACTGTTTGTCTGTAGAATACACTTTCTGCATCTTACCCAGACTTCTTGATCGAGTTAGCAGAGTTGGGGACAACGAACCAGAATATCTATTGAGTCGCTGAATCATTGATCATTCGTTCCGTTCGAGTAAGACGCATCGGTAATAGCATTCAAGCAATAACGAACCATAACAGTGTTGTAATCGATGTAATTGTATGAGCTTCGAGCCATAAACACAGAAAATAGATGGGCTGGCCGCTTTCTTTTATGACGTGTAGTGTCGGAAGACTGGTACTAGTACACGGTGTGCTACGCGCTACCCCCTCAAGTGACTATTTGAGCGACAAAGTATATAATGCACAATACTCATTTCAATATATATCACTAAAGCCCTTAGGAAAATGATCCGTGTCTTCACCAATGAAGTGCACTTGTCTTTTAGGTCACTTTTGATTATCATCGACTAATCTCATTACTCTACATTTGATCAGCTCCCAATATCACTCATGTGTTCAATTTGGGGAGGTTAAGGACAGAAAGAACTCTGGTTGTCCAACCAGCGTCAGCATACTTAATGGGGACAGGTGCAGCTAAGGTTATATGTATTATTGGCGTACGCAGACTTAGTAAATTAGTGATCCTACTGTGTAGATATGTTAAGTAGTTGAATCCATAACCGTCAACAATAAAGAATCTATGAGCTTATATTAATTAATGTGACTACACATCGATCATTCACTGCTGATGCAATAGTCTAATTTTCACTTCATCTACAGTAATAATTGGAATTTTGGGTGGCACCGTTTTAGAGACCAAAACCTTACATCATTTTGGGAAACATAAGAAAATTAAGCCTTTTTTGAGTATATTAAAATGTTCATCAAATCCCAAACTATCTGACAGAATTCATTGGAACAATAAAATATCTGAATGGGTTTTGTGGGGGTTTTAGTAATTTCAATAGTTGAAATCATGAGTCAATTGAAGCTAGACCACCATGAAAAACGTGAAAGTACTGCACTGATAGGTCCTGGGTTCGAATCTCGCGGGGGGCGGGATCGTGGATGCGTACTACTGCCGAGGAGTCCCATACTAGGACGAAACGGCCGTCCAGTACTTTTAAGTTTTCCATGGTGGTGTAGATTGAATTGACTAATGATCTCAACTATTGAAATTAATAAAATATCTAAAAGTAAATAAAAAGAACACATTGATATATGGTATAAATTATTGTGTGTATTCTTGTATTATTGTTTATCCTTTTCTGAGAAAATATTTATTAAAACAATCTAATAAATAACTAAATACAAAAGAAAAAGAATGTTGATTATACAAAGTGATGTGTCTGTCTGTGATAAAGGTGTCATAAGTTGAGAGAGGGAGATACAAAGTAGAAATATTTTTCTTAAAAAAAAAACAATGCAATATTAGAATCCTAATGTGAATAAAAACATTCAATTTAAACTGATTATCACAAATATTGTAATGAGTATAACGGTTGGTTTATATATATAATAGAAAAACATCCTAGTTATTTCTATTAATGATAACAATAATAATAATAATAATAATAATAATAATAATAATAAGTAGTAGTAGTAGTAGTAGTATATTGTTAATGAGAAGAATTTAGACCCAGTTTGATTGTCTTAATAATAATACCAATAATAATAATGCAACGGTAATATATAACAGTAATCATTAAAAAACCATAATTTTAATATACGCCAAAAAAGTAAATTAATAGAGAAAAAAAGGAACGTATTTCTGTAAAACGATGATGAAGGATGATGATTATTTCACCACATTTAGATCGTAAAACATATTTGACGATTAAAACAAAAATAAACCAATCAATCAATAGAAGATAAATTTCATAAGAAAAATCAAAGTTTTTTCTTCTCATAGAAAACAACCCAGAATGATACAATATAACTTGAAGAGGAAGAAGACTAAGAGATGAAGAAAAAGACAATGATTATTTTTAGACAAGTTCCCTTTATAATCACTGATAAACATAAACAATCATCATAATTAAAAAAAAAATAATAATTCAAAGAAATGCTTACTTGATTGAATTCTTTTTTTTTCTTTTCACTATCAGTAAAGTAGTACACTTAGAATACTACTGTTTGTCTTCTTTTTTTTCTTTTCTTTTCAATGAATCAAATCAATTATCATTAATGGAAGATTAATGTAGAGACCATATAATTAATGAAGTGAATAAATAAGAATGTCATTGAAGTAAAGAAATATGTATCTCACATTTTATTTATACATAATTATAAAATGAGAGATTTACAAATATGTCGAATTCCATCATTCATTCATTCATAATAATAATAATAATAATAATAATAATAATAATAAAACGCAAATTATACAATTGAATTATTAATTAACAACAATAATGGAATAATCCTACTAATAGTAATGATCATTCAATAAATAAATAAATAAATAAATAAATAAAATCCACATTATTCTATGAACAAGAATGACAGAGAAAAATGTTTCTGTTTTTGGTAGACAAAAGATTAACGCAAATTAAGTTGAGAAAATTTTCTCTTTTTTTTTTATTTATTTTTTAGAAATACCAACAACCAATTTATACAACATTTAAAACTGTGAATTGTTAATAGAAAAAATTACAATTCATTTCAGGATAGGAATAAAATACCTAAATAAATTGAGTGATATTTTTCAGAAGAGAAAATACCTATGAAATTGACAAAAGAAAAACATTGAAATAAATGAATTGATGAAATAAATGCAAATTATTCGAATATACATAATTAATATAATAATAATGTCATCCAATATATAATGGTTTACATTATAATTTTTGAGATATCACATTACAGGATTCGTGTTCACTTCTTCACACCTTAGTTACCTAGACATACATACATGGGTAAGATAGTGCACTACTTACAATATCTGTATATTAATGATATATGTTATATTGTGTACATTATAGTAACAGAAATGAATAAGAGAATGAGATTTATTTTGAAAATTTTGGTTGAAGAATGAAAATATCGAAAGTAATTAAACAACTAGATTAAAATAAACCTACGGGCAAGTAAACCAGGATGTATTATCAATTAATGAAGTCATTAACTGTTAGCCTAAATCATCTTGATAGGTTCAGACTACCTGGTTGGAGTCAGTCAGGTGAGGTTAGTTAAAATGGCTTAAAACTGATCGCAATGGTGTAAACGTATTAGCATTTTGTTTTAAAATACTCATACTTCCCATCCTTCGAATTTATTGTTTCTTCTCAAATCACAATTTATATGTCTAACCTTTTCTACTTTTAGCGATATGGCATTGGTCTTGAAAATTTCATCGTGCTTTGCTAACGTGATTAAGTAACTTGAATCGATGCACATATATGTCAGGGTTCTACTCTGTTTATGAATGAATGAATCATTGACTCCAATCTTAGATACTTTAATTCAACTAACAAATAAACCAATATCTTAATGGTTTCGTAGTTATAAAACTTGAATTCACACCTCTATGGGGAAATAGCATAATGCATTTGATCTTGAATACTGAAATGAATTAGTTTCATTAAATAGAACCTGAAAATTTTAGATTATTGATAGGTAAAAAGTGATATTAGAAGACCTCATTGGATAAAAAGTGTCTTTCGTAAATCTTGAAAAAGAAACACTGGACAAATTGTTTACGTGATATAATTCAGTTTAACAGTTAACTTAGTCGATAACACTTTCCTTTCTTCGAAACTTTTTCCAGACAGATATCACTACATAGGGTAGATTACCTAAGATAGAAATCATCAACCATCACTGAGCAAATTACACCTAGTTTTAGGCATCTAAGTAATTTAGGCAGCTCCGACAGTTATTAATTGTATCAAGATTACGTTTTTTTTAACATCAACATACTTTTATATTTAGCTTGGTCTATACACGAGAAAGTACTCATAAATTAAACAAATTGTGTATCACTGATAGTTTATAATATGTAGTTTAATAGCATAATCATAGATGTTATATTAACTCTACACTATTAAGTATTAAAAACTAGTCAATGAATGCTTACTAACATCACGTTTCAATGAATATGCTTTGAAATGTTGAGGTAATACACGTGTTGCTCGATCAACAAACTGACGTTAAGCGGTATCATATAAATAAAAATTCATCGACCTAATTTGTATTGCTGGTGTTACTGAGGTTACTTAAGAATTCCTATTGAATTATGTTAGTAACTAGATCGGATAAGATACTGCTACGTGATACTCTTTATCATAATACAACGGATGATAAATGAAACAAAGCAAATACTTCTAAAGATAGAAGTTCACTATTGTATCATTCGTAGAATAATATGATACTCAGAGTAATTGAAATAAAGTTAACCAAACATAATTATGGCTGGTATTTGATTAGCATAACGCAGTTAGGTCGATAAATTAGATTTAAGTAATTTCAAATTATTCACAAATCGAATGTTTTATTCATTTTATTCAGTAGTGTCTTCGTATCAACACTAATTTGTTTACACAACCCTTTGAAAAGAAAGTTAACTTACCTATAATAAATGTTTAAAAAAACATGTTGCTATGTCCACAAACTACATTTCTGACAATTTAAATATTTACATGATAACTTAAAATGGTGTGATCTATCATTATTTGAAGGATGAGAATACAACAGGCGTATGCGGATAATATTTTCTATGAAAATTTAATGGTGGTAAAGTTGGTCTTCTTGTCTTTCTTCGCCTAGTCAAAAGTCCACTGTCATCAAAATGTTGATTATGCTGCTTTTGCAGACGATGTTTATCAGAATGATGTTGAATATGTTTAAGATGTGTAGATGTAGCTAAAGCTTTACTATCACTCTCAAAACTACCCACACCACCCTCACCATCATCTTCACTCTCTTCATTTTCCGCTTCTTCGACTACTGTCACATTTTTATCATTCAGTGTAGAGCTAATTTTACTTGACTGGAATGTTTTAAATAAACGTTGATAGTTAAATGAAGACTTTGTACTGAATTTCATTGAGTTTATCTGACACTTTAACGATTTATCAGAGTTTTTATGAGTTTTTATTGCATTAGGAGATGTTGGTACTGAAGATGATATCAACCCATGTTTCGTTTGTTCTAATGCAGTAACTGATTGCTGTTGACTTATAAGGCGTGCAAATACATTGAAAGTTAATAGTTGGTTGGCTGTTGGACGATCAGATGGATTACGTGCAAAACACGCATCTAGAACTGCGATAAGATCAGTAGTCAAATCTTTCGGATATGTAGGAGGTGAGTTGGAAGTAGCAATCTGAATAGTGTACAAATGAGAAAATATGATAGATATAATACCAATCACTATGACGATAATAAACAAAACTTATTAGCCTAATAATAATCAGAGAAAACAGTGAGTAGTAAAACGGTTGACTTTGAAATCAAACCTACTTATCATTAACAGTCAGGAATTAGTGGATGAAACGAGTTCAGAAATTATTGTGTCAGGTACTGGTCTACCATATCTTGCATTTGAATTCCTATAAACCAATCACTTCTTATTGGAAAGAACTCATGTACTACAGATATGATCTGTGGATTTATTAGCGTGTTTGTTTACCAGCAAAATTAGAAGGAATATGGTGTAGAACAAAAAGTAGTAAATGAAAACAATCAGAATATATTCATAAATAATTTTGGGACGTTTGTCTAGGCAAAGTTATTGATAAAACTCAGTGTCTAGCTTATAGATCAACAAATGTTATTAAGTAGCAATTCAGGTAGCGACTATAATGTCCTGTAGAAGGTTATTGACTATTGCTGATCAAATGTCTATAAGTCAGTAAAAACTTGCGATATTATTGTTCAGTCAAATGTTGTTACGAAATCACAAAGAAAACAGAATAGAATAAGTGAGACTAACAGTGGAATCTAGGACTCGTGTTTCACTTTATTTAGGACTCATCAACTTGATGCACTTGCATATTAGTATTGATGTCCACACTATTAGTTACGTTTCACCTATTCTAGATAGCCTGTGAATTAATGGCTATATTGACTCAGTCAGCACAGTGTTCATATGCCACCAAAGACTGATCGAAATACAGTCACTTATATCAACAACTGGATAACTCATTTAAGTGTTTCGAAAATTTCATAGATTGGAAAGAAACAATGCAACAAACTTATTGTGAATTTTTGATTCAGTCAGTTGTGAAACACCATCTTTAAATAAAAAATGAAAAGTAAATAGCACATCAAAGCAAACTACTTAATGTCTTAGTGTTAGTTTTATCTAAACACATACCATACACACCCATATATACACCACGAAACAAATAAACCGACACACTTACACATGTACTAATCTTTCAGGATAATATTTCCGCTAATTATTTTTTTTAAAAACAACAACATATGATTTAAATTTTTAACTAGTTTAAAGATGGATTGTAAGTGTTGGCTAATTTCATTTGGCTTATTGAATTCAAAGGAGCGTAAATACCATAATAAAGCTGCTATTATTATTATTATTATTATTATTATTATTATTATTATTATTATCCACCGCAGGCACTGAATGGTCATAAGGAATATCGTGAATTGACCAGTTTGGTCTAGAGGTTGATAGTTTGCTTGTGAAACTGAAAGTCCTGGGTTAGATTATCAGATGCGGAGTCATGGATGCAAATTGATGAAGAGTCCCATACTAGGATGAAACGGACATCCAAAGCTACCAAGTCTCCAATGATGAACTAAGATCAAATTCACTAGGTATTGTTTTACTTGTATCTTCCCATTGTTATTTAGGACTGCAACTGATCAGTCCCCTTGTTGGCATATGTGCATCCTGTGCAGATTGCCTCGATATAGCCTTAAGTCAAAAGCTTATTAAGCAAAGATGCTAGCCACTATCCATCTTTGCTTAACTAAGATCAGTTTGTGATTTAAGCTACAGAAAGTTTTACAATCTCAACACCCCCCATTGTAATACTATTATTGAATAAACAGGATACATACATACACTGATATACACTTACAGTGAACATAAGAGCAAAACGGTTTGTTAATCTAGCATCATGCCATGGTGGTTTACTTGTAAGCATTTCTACTAGACAACAACCAACAGACCAAATATCACAAGCTCTACCATATGTTTCACCTCGAAGTACCTAATAATATTTTAAAAAAATGAAAATACAAATCGCAATAGTGATTGGATTGTTTGACAATATCTAAGACTTAGTAATATTAATAAGAAAGAAAAATATTATTTATCACATTGGAATTAATAGAGTCCAATAAAGATAAACTGAAGACTATAAACTACCTACATGAAAACCTAAAGCATATAATCAAATGTGGTTTATTGAGTTGATCATCGATGAAACTACTGTCCAATACTTCCAGGTCTTCTATAGTTATCTGGCTTGGATTGGTTTTTGATCATAATAAAACTCAGCAATCTCCACACTTCCCACACTGACAAGCACAAACAGTATAAATAGCGGGTGAAATAGTAGGAGTAGTGTGAATAATGGATAGTGGTTAGTGTTAAATCGTGAATAGAAAATGTTTGGAAATGCATAGACCATTGGATTCCAGCTTAGTAGTATCGTGCTCACTACGAGACCCGAAAGTGTTGAATGAACCGATGCGGAATTGTAGCGTAAACATTATAGAAAGACCTAAAACTAGAATGAAACATCTATATAGAAATCATTAATTGTCAATGATTCTCCTGAAGCTAATAAAATAAAACTGCTTTTTACATAACTTTCTACAAAATAAACGTGAATTGAGAACAAATAAATGACCCATAGTAGAATTCCCAAGATTTCTAATGAAAATAGGGATTAACGGGAGTTGTTATTGCTGTCATTGATTTTCAGACATACCATCTTTTCTTCGATCATTGACTTCATTTCAGTTAAGTCAAATGAATCATCGCAATCAATAGAGCCTGTCACAGCAATGATAAGATGTATAATTAACATTAAACAAATAAAAAAAATAATTATCTTACTTCTGGTGCCATAAATGAAAATGTACCTATAACTTGTCCTTGAAATTGACCAGCAACACTTTGCTCACCACTTAAACGAGCTGAGGCTCCAAAATCTGATATTTTGATAACAGTTCCAGTACTATCGATTAAAAGATTAGCACCTTAAATATTACAAATATACAAAGAGTGAAACTATAAATTATCAAAATAGTCCTATATAAAATACATTATACTTTATTCGGTTTAATGATGCATGTACAGACAAAGTGTCGACTGAAAAACTGTGAATAGATGTAATATCAACGCTTCATTAACAGTATGAATGATTGAACAACAGATAATTAACGTCAAAGCGATCTAAGAGGGATAACAGAAATTTGTGATATCCATATTTCGATCTTATTCACTCATACAAAGGAACAGTCGAAATTTTTTTAGGCTGCCTATATATCGTATGAGGATTCCTCAACGAGCTTAGTATTCCATTTACTCAGTAAATGAAAGCGCGTTCAAGCATTTGTGTGCTTATTGGTTATTCAGCATCACAGTCACAGAAGAGTAACAGTTTTGTGATATTACTGCTAATGGCAATATGAGCACCTAATGTATAATACAATGTATTTTTAAATAAGATTATGACTTAAGTGTCGATTGTATGATTAAGTAACTTTACAATTCACATTAAATAATTAATTTCATATTCTAGCTAAGAAAATATGCCTAAAACTACTTATATATTACTGTATTGTAACCACATTTGATTGAGTGACTGGATCCACATTTTACTATTTTCGTTACTACATATTTAAAGATTAACTCCGCCTGTAGCTCTTATAGGGTTGCTGCCGGTCCCAAGCCCGGGTAAAGGAGGAGGGTTGGGCATGGGGTTAGCGTCCCCATCCCGTAGAAAACTAACTCGCTAAAAAAACGCTTACCAGAAAAAATAATCCAAACCATTTTAACTCTGCCCTGGGAGTTAGAAGGTCTTCATTTAGAAGAATTATGACGCTTCATGGTGAAAGCCGAGTTCCTTCGGAAGCCACGAGGCCGATGCCCCTTCTAACAACCAGAGCAAAAATTTTTATAGGTACATGGAACGTTCGAACAATGTGGGAAACCGGGAAGACCAGTCAAATAGCAACGGAAATGAGGAGATACAACTTAGCAGTACTGGGAATCAGCGAAACCCACTGGACCCAAGCTGGACAGAAAAGGCTAGCTACGGGAGAGATGCTGCTATACTCCGGTCACGAAGAGGACAATGCTCCACACACTCAGGGAGTCGCTCTTATGCTGTCCAAAGTAGCACGAAATGCACTTGTACGATGGGAATCTCATGGATCCAGAATCATCAAAGTATCATTCAAAACAAAGAAGGAGGGGATCACAATGAATATTATCCAATGTTATGCACCCACCAATGATAGCAACGACGAAATTAAAGATCAGTTCTACGAGCGGCTGCAGTCAATCATTGAGAAATGCCCAAGAAAGGACCTAACTATTCTGATGGGAGATCTAAATGCCAAAGTCGGAATAGACAACACTGGATATGAAGATATTATGGGACGACATGGACTGGGAGAAAGAAACGAAAATGGAGAAAGATTTGCAAATCTATGTGCATTCAACAAATTGGTCATAGGAGGCACAATATTTCCACACAAGCGTATACACAAGGCTACATGGATCTCACCGGACCACACTACAGAGAACCAAATAGATCATATTTGCATCAACAAAAAATTCCGAAGGACAATGGAAGATGTGAGAACCAGGAGAGGTGCTGACGTAGCTTCAGACCACCACCTAGTTGTAGACAATTTGAAACTGAAGCTAAAAAAGAACTGGACAAGTGGACAAACAGCAATACAAAGGTTCAATACAGCCTTCCTTCGAGATACTGTCAAACTCAATGAATTCAAGATAGCTCTCAACAACAGGTTCCAAGCCTTACAAGATCTACTGAAGGAAGAAGAAACTACTATGGAGGACAACTGGAAAGGCATCAAAGAAACATTGACTTCAACGTGTCAAGAGGTTCTCGGTCTAAAGAAGCACCATCATAAGGAACGGATCTCTACAGAAACATTGGACAAGATCAAAGAAAGGAAGAACAAGAAGGCAGCAATAAACAACAGCCGAACACGAGCAGAGAAAGTCCAAGCACAAGCTGAATACATAGAAGCAAACAAACAAGTGAAGAGGAGCATTAGAGCCGACAAGAAGAAATACGTGGAAGAACTAGCAACGACGGCAGAAAAAGCTGCTAGAGAAGGAAATATGAAACAGCTTTACGATACAACGAAGAAACTATCAGGGAAATACAGTAAACCAGAGAGGCCGGTCAAAGACAAAGAAGGCAAGCCAATCACTGAAATTCAACAACAGCAAAACAGATGGGTAGAATACTTCGAGGAACTCCTGAATAGGCCACCTCCAATGAATCCACCGAACATCGAAGCAGCATACACAGATCTTCCTATAGATGTCAACCCATCAACGACGGAAGAAATCAGAATGGCCGTCAGACAAATCAAGACCGGGAAAGCAGCGGGACCCGACAACATACCAGCTGAAGCACTGAAATCAGACATCGAAGCAACCACAAGCATGCTTTATCTTCTATTCAAAAAGATTTGGGAGGAGGAACAAGTGCCGATGGACTGGAAAGAAGGACACCTCGTCAAGATTCCAAAGAAAGATCTGAGCAAATGTGAAAACTACAGAGGCATAACACTACTGTCAATACCAGGGAAAGTCTTCAACAGATTGTTGCTGAACCGGATGAAGGATGCAGTAGACGCCCAACTTCGAGATCAACAAGCTGGATTCCGTAAGGATCGGTCGTGCACAGATCAAATTGCAACACTACGGACCATCGTCGAACAATCAGTTGAGTGGAACTCATCACTATACATCAACTTCATTGATTATGAAAAGGCATTCGACAGTGTAGATAGGAAGACATTATGGAAACTTCTTCGACACTACGGAGTTCCTCAGAAGATTGTCAATATTATCCGGAACTCATACGACGGACTACAGTGCAAAGTAGTGCATGGAGGACAGCTGACAGATGCGTTCCAAGTAAGGACCGGAGTCAGACAAGGCTGTTTACTCTCTCCCTTCCTCTTTCTTCTGGTGGTCGACTGGATTATGAAGACCTCGACATCTGAAGGAAAACACGGAATACAATGGACAGCTCAGAACCAATTAGAAGATTTGGACTTCGCAGATGACCTAGCCCTCCTATCACGTACACACGAACAGATGCAGATAAAGACAGCCAGTGTAGCAGCAGTCTCTGCATCAGTAGGCCTCAGCATACACAAAGGGAAAACTAAGGTCCTCAAATTCAACACGGAGAACAGCAATCCAATCACACTTGATGGCGAAACTCTGGAAGATTTAGAGTCCTTCACATACCTGGGAAGCATCATCGATGAACAAGGAGGATCCGATGCAGACGTAAAGGCGAGGATCGGCAAAGCAAGGGCCGCTTTCCTACAATTGAAGAACATATGGAACTCAAAACAACTTTCAACCAATATCAAAGTAAGAATCTTCAATACGAACGTCAAGGCAGTTCTACTGTATGGAGCTGAAACTTGGAGAACTACAACAACCACAATCAAGAAAGTACAAGTATTTATAAATAACTGTCTACGCAAGATACTCAACATCCATTGGCCGGATACCATCAGCAATAGCCTTCTGTAGGAGAGAACAAACCAACTTCCAGCTGAAGAAGAAATTAGGAAAAGACGATGGAAATGGATAGGACATACATTACGCAAATCGTCGAACTGCATCACGAGGCAAGCCCTAACTTGGAATCCTGAAGGGAAGCGAGAAAGAGGAAGGCCAAAGAACACATTACGTCGGATAATAGAAGCAGATATGAAAACGATGAATTACAACTGGACGGAGCTAGAAAGGATTGCCCAGGACAGGGCTGGATGGAGAATGCTGGTGAGCGGCCTATGCTCCTTCACGAGGAGTAACAGGCGTAAGTAAGTAAGTAATATTTAAAGATTGAAATATTTATTTAAACCAGACTTTGTCTTGACTGGTTTCCATTAGTAAGTTAACTTGGCAAACGGTAATGAAATTTTTGTTCCCTAGAAGGTGATATTTCTTCCAATAATAGTCAAAGTTGTTTTTGGTGAAATTGGATGGTTGCTAGAAGTAGAATCCAGAGTGTGGTTCTTTCTATGCAGAACTCATCGAGTGTTGATGTTTACTCTGAGACTCAAACCTAGTACCTACTATCTGAAACTCTTACACATTATCCATTGAGCTACTGGGTTCAGATAGTCATTAGCTTGTGCAATGAGTGTTTGTCTGTTCCAATTGCTAAAGTTTTACTAATAAATTCTGACTTAATAATCATATTAAGACAATTCACTCATGAATGACTTGAGCCGAAAGAGACTGACCATTTGCAGCTCTGAATATCAGCAACGAGAAAATACAAACACTGCATATATTAGTCAGAAACATTTCAGATTTTTAATCATATTCTTAATAACTTCAATGCTATTCACATTTAAATAATTCAATGGGTGATATTCAGAACTAATAAAACGCTTGTTCTACTCCCAATTCCAGTCACAAGAAAACGTTTAGTGCATTAAAGTCATATTATCTATACGAGAAGCTTTCCATATAGTTGGTCTACTTCAAAGCTACATAACATTTATGAACTAATTTTCACTTTTTAACCTTCCAGTGAAGAAAATAAATGTAGTATTGGGGAACTTATGGAGATTAATTAAACTTGATTTTTATCACGGACTGATGTTTGGAGGGTAGCTATCAAAAGATAAGCGATATGGAATAACTCTTTTATTTTAATCAAATTAATTCGTGGTGAAAATTTCAGAGTCCATATAGTCTATATAACATAAATGTACCACAAATTTAAAGAATTCAGTTGCATGGTGGTCAAAATCGTTTGCGCTATTAAAATCACGATAATCTATTTGACAAAACCTGCTGATCAACTTTGTAGTGTCTGTTCACTTGCTAGTTTAATTTAGTAGTATTAGCTGACAAATAATTTGAAAGCTTTCTAATTATAATAAAAATAACAGTAGATGAAATATTCACTTTAAGTTACCTTTTAAATCACGATGTAATATACCATGTTTGTGTAAATAGGCTAAACCACGTATTAATTGTATACCATAATTTAACGTAATTGATTCATTAAAAGCTCCATATTGTTGTAATAAACTTGTTATACTACCCCCTGGCATCCATTCAATAAATAAATCAACGAACCCACGTTTCACGCAATGCACAGCACCAAATAAACGTAGAATATTAGGATGATCTAACTGGAGCATAATACGTACTTCGGTTTCAACTTCAGCTAATTGATTTAAAGATGTCGGTGATAATGGACGATGGTAAATTGGATTTTGTTGACCATTATTATTATTATTATTATTATTATTATTATTATTATTATTATTATTATTATTATTGTCATTATCATTATTGTTACAATTTGGTTCGTTCTTATGGTCATTTTGCTGACGTATTTGTGATGGATATGCTTTATTCTTCTCTGAAGAGAAAAGTGAAAACATGCCGTTTCGCCCAAGACGTATGCGTTTTACAGCTAATAGTAGGCCGGTTCTAACATCACGTGCTTGATAACACTGTGAAAATGCACCATGACCTAGAATAGGACCACGTATCCAATCGACTGATTCATAATATTCATCTGAATTAGGTAACTTTTTAGTTTGTTGAAATGAACTCATGACAAATGACAGACCAGGTATTGGCAACAAAGGTTTTAATTGATGTGTAGAACGTGTTAAGGCATTTCTTAAGACAGTAACTTGTTCACATTGTAAATCAGCTTCGGAACCAAGTGATCGACCTGTATAAATTGGTTCGTTTAAATTATTTTGTTGTTGCTGTTGTTGGTCTTCCCCTTCATTTTCATCATCATCATCATCCTCGTCGTCATCATCTTCAAATTCACTTACACTACTATAGTTACCAGATTCAGACAAAGCAACCAGATCATACGCTGGTTCCAGTGCAATTCGAGCAAATGATGATTTTAAAATCTGAGCTTTAATCTTTTTAGTATTTTCACTTTCGTCATCATCATCATCATCACCGTTATTAACAGTTGCAGCAAGACCATTAATACTGTTATCTTTCTCAGATCTAGTAGAATCTTTTTTATAATCAATTAATAATTCAGAATTACTGATAGTTAATCTTCTTGGTGGTGGGATCGGTGGTATTTTTATAGAAGAGAAAGAAGTGTTCCTAAAAGATAACTCTTCATCTAGTGGATGTAGTGAATTATAAGCACCTTGTTGTTCATATCGCTGTTGTTGACTTGATATATCTTTAGAAGAATTAACTTCGTCCATTCGATTAAATTTTTCTATTTTACTGATGTTTTTGTTATAAGTTGGACATGTTATGTATGATGATGTGGATGATAAAGCTAGGGCCTCAGTATTAGATGGTGTAGCATATGATTGTTTAATAACTGTTGGTAATTGATTCGATAACGAAATGTTCCAACTATTATTCTTAGTTATTCTATGTACATTAGATGTTTCATGTGATGAGTAAAGTAGCAAACATAATCGATTTCGAAACCATGTAGCCAGTGGTGCATCCAATCGATTAATTTCTGATTCAATAAATGAATTCGCATTAAACGTAGACGGTGGAATCGGATCATAACGATCAAAAATTTCTTCACTTTGCCAAGTAAGCAATGCTCTGGCAGCAGTGAGAAAGACTCGTCTAGCCTATAAATAAAGTAAACAGTTGAGATAGTCTTTCCAAAAATAAGTTCTTGAGTGATAATATGGGATTAATAGAGTGGGATAAACCATTTTCTTATAATAAATAACGGTATATAATGAATAAGAAATTACTTGGATTTGAAGGAAAAAATAAATTGTGAAACATTCGAACCAGCGTTTTCTTCAGGTTACCAGTACTGAATCCTATGATTGCTTGAGCCATGTGAGTCAACTATTACTACTCTGATTTTCTTCCTACTTCAAACATCATCTCTGTACTTGAAAATTAGTTCGCCAACTGTGGCTGTTCGAATTAATCATTCAGTTTATCCAATTCGATTTGGATTTAGATAAAAAGTAGTCTATCTGGGTAGCTAATTTGATCAAAAGTAATAACTTTCATACCTCTCATGAATTAAATTGGTACTTGATTAACAAAGTAAGGCATCGAAAATCAATTTGTATGAAGGAAGATTAAATTTTCCGTAATTATGGATTTATATTACTTTAGGATGTTTGTTGTTTGAACTTATTGAAATAACAAGTAAATTCTGTATCTGGTATTGTTAGAGCCACTGATGAAACACTAGAAGTTACACGATGAGCAATAGATATTTAGGAATTTTCGTAGACTGGAATTCTTCAATATTCGACGTTAATTTTTAATATAGCTAAAAATCACCGTGAGACACTTGCTATACTTGTCATTTACTGAGAAATCATCGACAGTAAGAGAAATGAATTGATTGATGTCTCGTTTGTAGTAGAAATTTCATCAGAAGTACAGGAGAGTATTTATTTCAAGATCAAAGGTAGAATTGTTCAACTCCACTTTCCAAGTGTGCTATCCTTTCAATTGTTTGTTTAATTTAAAAAATACTTAATATTTGAAAATGTTCATTTAAAGATCGATAAAACTTCAGTTATAGAGAGTGAAAAAATTCCTGGAATCTACTGAGCTAGTATCATATATTCATGATAACTGGTCGAGTCCAGGGGTATCTGAAACTTCTTTCTTTCTTCTACAATTGACGTAATGGAAAATAATTTGATTATATCATAATCGGCAGTAATGAGAGTCATTTAAACCAACTTCGTTAAGTTACTGTTAAATTGAACTTCACGGGCTTATAAATATTTATTTTTAAAAGTACCTCATTAAAATTAGTTAATTTCGAGAAATCGTAAACAATATTCTCATGTTTATTCAGAATTACCAGCCAAAAACTAATTAATCATAGATACACAATTTTTTATAACTTACAATTCGGTTAGCTTTATATTGTGTGTAATGATAATAATCCACATTATTTAATTCATTCTGGTGTTGATGTTGATCTGTTGCTGTAGCTTTAATCGTTCTCATTGCTGATGATATTGATGATGATGGTGGTGGTGGTGGTAATCTTGATAAAAAATCACCACAATGTGCATCAGTTGATTGTAATTGATAATGATATGGAAAACACATAGTCATATTATCCGGTTTCGGATAAATCGGTAATAAATGACGTCGAGCAAATATTATAGTAGAGCATAAATGTCGTCTAGCTAATGATTGGTCTGTTAATGACAATGTTGTTGTTAGTGATGATGATGATGAATTTGTTTCATCTTTAACAACTGATGATGACTTACCAATTGGTGATGACATGTCAGTGCTGTTATTATTATTATTATTATTACTATCATTGCTATTATTATTACTATTATTATCAGGATTAGTCTTGATACTTAAATCAGATGACAATAATAAGGATTCATGACGTTGTGATTGTTGTTGCATTAGTAATATTCTTCTTGATTGATGCATTCGAATTAGTTTATCAACAACTGTTAGACGACCGATTAAATGAGTGGCATGAAACTTTGCAGAACTCAAAACAAAACGTACCATGTGTTGTATACCACTAACAGGTAAACATTGCGAAGCTGTACAAATTAAATATAAAGGAAATGTGCTTTTTATCAATGGTTCTATGAAAACCTAAATTAGGGAATGAATACAGAAACTGAAGTATTAAGATTTAAATAATGATAGTTACTTTTAATTCGCTTCACTAAGTTACTGATGTATGTTGACCATCTATTGTGACTCAAGTACGTGCTTTTTTCAGTTGCCCCTGTTAACTTTACTACACCAAAAAGATACATCTATGTCAACATTTAAACTTTTTTGTCTAATCAGGATGTGATACAAAAATAATCCTAAGTACTGAGTGTGAGATTTCAACTACAAACAACAAAACAATGATATTTTCTATTCTGACTTAAGTTGTATTCTACTTGTTTGAAAGAATTGGTTTCTCCTTATTTCAAAGCTTCATCAAGAAGCTTTACTATTTATTTATTCCATTTTACCGCCAAAATGAGTCAAAACTGATATGATTGAATTGAAGAAGTTACTCACTATATAATTACACCATACTATTACATCTATGAATGATTAAATATGGAGCTATAATTAACTATGGTGGATGGGTCGTAAACTTATATGTTCAAAACAATTGGACTGTTTTCGTCTAAACATGAGCTACTGAAGATTATTACATTTATTTACTTCACTTATTTCACACTATGGCACTTGTTTGATTATTCCAAGAATACATATAAAATTACTGGAGATTTGTCACACAACCGATTTTCTTACATGTAGCTTCCATGGACAAATGTTTTTATTTGGTAACGAGAAGTCTCACTTGCAGTGAAATCACGAGATGGTGAACAACATTTATGGGTCATACATAGCTTAAGGTAGGAAAAGATGTAATTATTCTAAAATTTTTGATTCTACAGTGATTAGAATGATTACCCCTCAAATATCCATGATAAAACATGTTAACTTGGGAACAAAGTCGGTTAGATGAGGCTATAAGACAGCCCTTTCAAAAAATAATGGTACCAGTTGTCAACGCTTTACTAATTAGTGTTAGTTCATTACGTCATGTAGGAATGAATATTTTGGAAAGGCAAAACTTTCGAAACTATTCTCTACATGGAATTATTACACGCACCTTTATTGTGTAATATCTACATTTTCGGGTTGTTTCATTTTCATACTGTCGTAACTATAGCCTTTCATTTTACCAATTAATTGTCGATATATGTCTTACGGTTTCGGAATTATTGTTGGTTAATTATTTACCTATTACCGTATTTGTGTAACTTATGACTCTGTTATCTTATTGGTGCGTTGTGGTCGTGTAACTGTGTATATAAACGAGTTAGAATAATATAGGGCGAAACCACCTGTTCATCTTCTGATTGTTCACAAAGGGGATATTAGAAGCTCGCGGACTGACAGGCCTTAAGATCTTGGTCGTAATTCATAGTCATTGAGCAACTGAATAATAGTAGGTCATTAGTTCGACAGGTACAAAACGATCGTGTCATTAACGGACTCTATTATCAAGTGACTAGATCACATGAGAGCAATACATAAAATTCCGTAAAAGTATAGGGATAAGCCAATCAGTGTCTGGAAAATGATTATAAGCTTTTATGAGCCAAATTCGTAAATGACTCGATCTTATTTCGCATAACATGAGCAGTACAAATACCCTGTAGTGTCAGTTATTGTGTTAAGCCCATATACCTTATTCTAGCTTTCGGACATCCCATTCTATTCATTCTACTTAAGTCATATTTTGACTTTGTCAATTATTAGCTTATTAGTCTTGACTGTTTTTATATGAGCGTATATGTGTGTACACTTCATATCCCATGTCTCATCACATGTCTGTAGTTTATTTTGTCTGCCTATAAATATTGAGTAACGCCTGGCTAAAAATGAGTTGGCTTACCAGCCATCTACCCTGCGCGTCATTTCGCTTTGTTCTATCGCATTCACTTCGCAAACAAAATATATGTATTCAAAGGCCATTCTCGTTAATTGACTTACCTAAATTCCGTTATTGACTAACGTGATTTAAGTCGATGATTGTATACGAGGATAGATGGTAATAAACATTCTTACGATCTACATGGGGTCAGATACACGGGCCACTAAAACCCTCGTATAGTGCTCAGAACATTTAATAGGAAAATGAAAGTATTTTTTAATCATAGAGTGAAAGTGACAGTTCCAAACGTATCAAATGTTTAGTTCTCACTGTATGACACGTGCAAATAAACCCTCACCTTAACCTTGAGTCCAAAATCGTAAGTACCTAACCGTAAGTTTCCAATCCACATGGTTACAAATTGTTCTTTCATTAATGCCAATTTCAGTTCGTGATGAAAACTCTAACCTTAATTTCTAACTAACTCCTAGTTATAAATCTTAACAGTAATTAATAACCAGGAGACAATCTGAGGACTCCTAAAATCTCTTTGAGTCTTTATAAAGGTTCGAGAAGGCAGGTGCTGCATAATCATATAGACGAATTTATACTTTGTTGTTTTCTCGGTATACAGACAGAAAAGATTTTATAAGACTTTGGTAGATTCCCTGATTATGCAAAATCTGTCTACACTTCGTAATATTATTGTTTCCTTTTCCATGAACTACACATTTGGAAAATCCATTTAGTGATTGACTAGAGAACTGAATAAAAATCCCTTGTGGTTGTTTTAAGCTCATCCCTATATCATACTCTTAGGGAAAATTTGGACTTAAAACGTAGCATGTAAATGATGTACAAAGAAAAGCACTATTTTCTAAAGTTCTTTCATAAATGAGGATGAAAATTAAATAATAGTATGTAGAAAAATCCTTCTTACCAGAGTGAACTTCTCGACCGATGGCTAAAGCACCTGTTTGTCCTTTGGCTAGTTCTATAAGTGTAGCTAACGCAAGATTGCAGCGATCACGAAAGTTGGCATCGGCTGGTATTTTCGGTAATGCAATACTTAATTCATTCGTAGGTTTTGTGAGATTATTTTCATCAATCTTAACATTTAATTGACAACTGGCAGATTTTTTCACATCTAAATAAGATGAATTGTTGTTCGTCAGATTACAATTTGTAATTGTTTTATTTTCGTCATCATTTTGTTGACGAGTTGCTAACGGTAAAAATGATTCCAGATTACGTAGATTCCATAAGTTACTTTGTCCACCTACGAAGCGTAATAGACGACGTAGAATTGGACCAATTGCTTTTTGCAGTACCGTTTGAGTTTCTTTATTATAAACAACCAAATATCCAAGTAACTCACGAAAAGCTCGCTAATTAGATTTCCAAAAAGAATGAAAGAAAATGATAAAATAAATTTAAACAACTGTCCGATAATTTAGCATTGTGAATTGGAAACAGATTATTTATACATTTATTTAACTGCGTACGCAACAATCAGTTATCGTCTAGTGCAGATAACAGGTATGGTACAGCGTTTTCAATAAAGAAACTAATCAATCTGAAGCGGTGACTCAGTAGCCAAACCATTTGGTTTTTAACAATTAGGTCACACATTTGAAACCCATTTTATCCGCTTCCATTTGGCAATCTGAGTAGTATCCCACCCCTCACAGAAACGATATGGCTCAAGACTGAGTAGCATTCTGTTCTTGCTAATCGCGTTATAGTTAAAGCCGATGTAAGCTAACAGTGGGTAAATAATAAATAGGTTGGAGAACTAATGAGATGAATAATATTAGATGCAAAAGAAACAACATTTTATAATGAAAGAGAAATCAATCTTTATTATCTAATCTAAATTTCCATCCCAAAATGTATAGATCCATCATTTTCCCTATGGGGGGATTTGATCATAAACCAGTTGGTCTCGAATACTATCATATGTATGTGAACGATTGTCATCCCCTGGTCGCACAAGCCGTGAAAGGATTCTTCTTGAGATACCTCACAATAACAAACTGTATTAATAGTGGTCTTGATGACTTGGGAGCGTAACCGTTGGGGCCTAGTGGCAAGTGCTTCAGGCGCATCACATAGGTGTTTTCCTGGTTGTTCTTATTATGTTAGCTCTAACATTAAAACCTTACTCCCGGTAATAGAAATCTGTGTGTAAACAGAGCTATGATATTTTTAGGGTCACTGGCAAATCAATTGATGAAGTAATTAGCTTTCATCGACTGAGGTGGTTACGATACGCATTGCGTATGCTCAACTACCTCATACATTTACTACTTCATCAACTGGTTTGATATTTTCGTCCTTCAGTTTAACCTCAGAATTACTCACACGGTGATGTCAACATACGTGGACAATGCTACGAAAACACTTATGATCAAATACTTGTAACCTACAAGTATCCTCTACTTTGAAGTATATTTCACAACCATAAAGTAAAACACAGTGAACTAATGAACAGTACACTCATCCTTTGGTTGGAAAATGGACATTTTGTTTAATAAAACGACGGTGTTAGTTGGTAAAGTCAAGATAGCTTTCTGAATCCATGTCCAGATTTTATTATACACCAACCCACTAAAGTGGAAGAGGCTTCCACTTAATCCGAGTAGATAAATAAAGACTTGTCCCTTCAGTGATTCAACCACCTTAGTTAAATCTATAAAAAGTGATGAGAAAAACCCTAAATAAAAATAACGATCGTGGAAAGCTCGTATAGCATTAGCTTTCCTATCGAGTCCTGATTATCAAATCTTCAGTTATCATTGTCCATCATTTGAGTGTTATACAGAATTATACGTCGATTGACATGAAATAATTGACCATTCATCATTTCATAAATCATCCTACTCTAATTTTTAACTTCTCGGAGAATTATTTCATTCCAGAGGTCTGATTTTTACCAAAAAGATTTTAGAGAATGATTTTGTGTGTTTATTGCGTTCACAATAATCTTTCAAGTAAGTCTGTTACAGCACTAAAAACCACCAAATTATCACGAAAATGAACCCTAGTTAAAAATATAAAATAATATCCAGACTCTTGGTAGTATAGGGTCTTCTGAGTTAGGAGTAGTAATTATAAAACATTGGTGATTTTTCTGAATAACATTATCAATGTATATTTCGTCATGATAAGGTAAGGAGTTTTTGAAAATAATGCTCAAATATTAACTAGATACTCACGATAGGAGTAAAAGCTATAAAAGGTTTTAAACATAAAGGAAATCGTATTATAAGAAACTTACCAAAGCATCAGTGAATATTGCATCGACAGGATCATCAAGAAGAAACTGAATTAACTTAAACATTATTTTCACACAATCCGGTCCTATATATAATTGGCATTTCGCTGGTGTAGCACAATTTCCGTCATGGTGATTCAATGAACAAACAAGATTATTATGACTTGAATGTAAATTACACTGTCTAGCTAGAATTACTTGACTTATTGTTAAGTGAGTTGCTTTTTGTAATGCATATTGTCTAACGGTCCAATCACATGCAATTAGTCCATTAGCAATCTATATGTGTTATAAATAGGAAGATTTTCTTTCAAATGAAAAGGAAATGATGTTTCAATAAAAAAGACCTAAAATCGTAAAACCCATCTCATTCGTATATGTTAAAATAACATAACTTTATCATAAGCTGATCTGTTGGATTCATAAACTAGTATGGGAAATCAGTGCTATGAATTGATAAGTCGAGTTTTCAAGTTAAGTCTTTAATTTGTTCAATACAGTCAACTAATTGGCACGATCATAGTAGCCTACATCAAACTGAATTTCAAATTTAGATTTCTTGACTTCATATTCTCAATTTGACACAAAGTTAGCTTTTACATGGTTATAAAGTAACTGATCACTTTAAAAGTAAGATAAAATGAATGGGTTATAGGCTAAGTTGGAAAGTCTAAATAATCAGAAAATCGGTTATCAACAAAGAAGGATATGGTACGACAGTGCCTTAGTCCTATTTCTTGCACTTCATATCAACAAAGAGAAATGAAACTGATAAAATCGAAACCGAAGAATGGATCACATGATGAGATTACTGAATGAAGCATTTTTCTTCAAATTCGTTATATATACATAGGTAGGTAAAGTTGTATAGCATAAAGGATCAGCTGTCCCGGAACTTTCTGTCATGAAACTTTTGTCCTGCTCAAACGTGAACTTCAACATCTGATAAACCTGCAGACTAATACCCAGCTAATATAAATGCATATATGACTTCACTGAATTTTCCTGTCTTTTTATGTAATCCATTTGAATATCTTTTCATTCAAATTTTACCAAAGTCCACATCACCCATTTATATAAACATTAATCTATCATGGAACTGAACAGTCACAGTCAATACAGAACTATAGCTCCCCTCCTTATATTGTAGTATAGTATATTAGTACAATTTAGCTGTCCAACAATTTCTAGTTTTCACAAAATAACAATTTTGTACTGATATTGATGTCATTAAACTGTCTCCGAATATATATCTTATTTGTCTATCATTTATAAACTTAAATAATTTTGTTATATTATTATTATTTATATTCAGATTCTGACGTATCAACCTTATAAGAGGATTAAATTACTTAGATAAAACTACCAAAGCTATAGACGTACTTAGTCATTTGGTTTAAAATTTATGTAAAATTTAAAGTTTACAGTTTAATATTAGCAATTTATTTTAATCATATATAATATGTTATTGTATTAGATATGGTCAATCTAATAACTGTGTTTATTTCCTTACAGATAAATGCATATACAATAGTTCTCTCAATGACATAGTAACCAGTTTAGTCATCGTAACATGTGATTCCAATAAAAAGCATATATTACTATTATTATGTCTGTTATTGTTTTAAATCGTTAAAAATGGAATCTAATCTTTGTCTAGTAGCTGGGATAAGTGATTTACATGAGTAATAAGTAAGATGTCTGTATTTCATTTATAAAATACTTCTACATTATATGAGCAATATAAAGCCGTCTACATCATCCAATGTAGCTTTTTCAAGTGAGATTGAAGGGAATAGTTCATGTTTAAAGAGATTTTTTAAATCGTAAATTAAAAATTATTTCACAGAAAGAAAGTTCTGAAAATTAAAGGTAACTTTGAAAAGAACTTTTAAATCTATCATCAGTTAGAAGATCGTCACAACGATTTTTAGATCTTTAGGAATGATTGACTAATTGTATAACAATAAGCTATAATAGACTCTTTTTTGAGTTGCCACTATTTTTCAATCTTAATTATTTTTGTTAAAAAGGATCTTAAATACTGCAAGAATTATGTCGTAGTGTACTGCATTGCTTTAAACCTATTCCACATATTTAATGGTACTAATGAATAGGGGAATTTACAATGAAAATAGCACAAAGGCCTCTGTTCTGGCTGAAACCCACCAAAAGATATGTCTGGAGTCTTGAGAAAGTTAATTTTTCCATTTGGATTCATACATTTATTTGATGAAGTCCCGCAGGCAGAGATGTTACCACTTAGCTAGATGAGTAAGAACTGATGTTTTTTAGAATTAAGAAGTTTAAAATCACTGGTTATTGAGTAAGGATAACCAACTACAGGATCTCTAGTTATCTGTGCCGATCAGTTTCTAATAGTCAAATTGCAATTTGGGTAGGAGAATAAATGACTCAATATTATAATCCATATAGATTATCATTTAGTGGTTGAAAGCAATACATTTAAAACTAATCATTAAAAAATTATTACGCTACAAGAAGCACAATAGTGCACTTACTTCCAATGAGAAAGCAGAAACACAACTGTTATATTCAGAAAAAGGTGGATCTGGCAACAAAGTGTTTACGACGGTCATATTTCCCGTTAAATTTAAATCAGCGTTTAAATTTACTGGTTGATATGTAAAGCGGAGTGTTTCATTCATTTGTTGTTGTTCATTATTTTGATTATGATATCTGTGATAGGACTGATGTTGATCATCATGTTGATTACTTTTCATTTGTTGACCATTGTTATTATCTGTTTGCTGATTAATAATTTGTTCTGATGAGGATAAATAACAGATACATTTTGTATGATCTGAATTTTTATCGGAATCATCAGGTTTGTCCCATTTTACATGACTATCAAAACTAGGGATATGAATCCATACACAGCCACACACTGGACATTGTGGTGAATCACCATCACTCTGAATTTCTTCTAACCCTTTTTTGGTTATATAAATTCGAATGGAAATTGAAGAAGAAAATTTCAATGAGTTAACATTCATCTATGTGACAAGTTTTTCAAAAAGACAATAAAATGTATAAAGTTGCATCATAGAGCTAAACTGTGGGAAATCACAGATTTCATATATGACAGTTTTATAAAATGCCACCGATGAAGATAATTAGAAACTAAGAATTTTTTTGCAAGGTCAATGTAGTATTACCATCATTGGAAATGAGCAGTATGGTTGATGAAATTCAGAAATTTGTTTCTACTACGATATTGAAAATTTCAGAAATCACTCGACTCAATTATTCATGTTTTGAGAACAACATATTGTACGAAAAGTAAAAACTTGATATGTTGTACGAAGTATGGTTGCTTATATTAGTTTGAAGAGACAGGGAAGGATATCACGAAGGGGAGGGGTATTATTGACAATTTTGGAAATAACTGTTATCTTTAATCACTGATTCGTATTCCGAATACGTAGTCCAACCTTCGTTTATGATCTCTTTCGTTGACACTACTGCTTTAGAAATATGTTGTTCATTGTGCAGATGAAGCTGTTTATCATGAAGATAATAACTCTAACAAAAGCCTACTAAGATGTGCAGCTTCGAAAAAAGTGAGTAATACAGATTTTCCTTTGACAAACATTTTGTGTCCGAATCTTCTGATCACCGATAGATAGGAAAAGCCAACAATCTTCATAAAATCTTTTGAATGATTCCAGTACAAATCGTTCGTAAAAATATTTGTTATTTCTACATAGTGAGACAGTAGACTCTCATTTTTCAGATTATATTGACACTGGTCGAATATTTTTATGCTCTTAATGACCATGGTATCCATGATGTAACACTGACACATGTGAGAAACATAATTAATTATATTTTATTGGAGTGAATTATCACCTAACTGTATGTAAGTTAGTTGTAATGAACCATTCAAGTGTTCTCATTCATATTCAAGTTCCTCTGTATTACTTATTACATAAAACCCGAGATATATAAGGCAGGTTAGGTCTGAAGTCGTTTCGGTGATCAGAGTCAGTTTCAACTGTTTTTTCATCAACGTAGCAATTTTCTCTATCTGCCATAGATCACTATCTTTTATAAAAAAGGTCAGTCGAAGTTGTAAAACAAATCAAAAGATAAAATTTCTACATTGATTTTACAAATGGATAAAATATTTACTAAGTGATCAACAACTATATCATAGTAGTATTTATATTCTTAAATGCATCTTACATATTTCCTAATTTATTTCATGGTACACAGCTCAAACTGGAAATTTCTCTTATCCAAGTATCTTGACTAAAAAGAACTCAACTAATTACTAACACCTGAAAGTACTATTTCAAATGAAGAAGTGGTATATTCAAGTCATAATCTCTGAAATAGACTTCGTAGTTTGTGCAGTCGGTTGTATGTCTCAGTGTCAAGTTGTAAAGCTGCTAAGATAACATCGAATAATTGACACTATCTTAAAAAGACGTTTAGACATGTTTTAATAAAATGATGGTTTTATCAGATATGTCCTATCATTTGTCAGCTGAATATTTATTTGTCTTAACTCCCATGAAGCGTTTTCGTTAGGAGTCAAAAAACTTTTACTTCCGTGGTTCATTTTATCCCTCCTCCTTTAATTGGTTAGAAACTGTTTCACATTTTAAATGGCCTTGTTAGCTTTTCATTTATTCAGCGTGATCGTAAATTATACGAAGTAGAAGACACTTAACTCCGCCTGTAGCTCTTCTAGAGTTACTGCCGGTCCCAAGCCCGGGTAAAGGAGGAGGGTTGTGCATGGGGTTAGCGACCCCATCCCGTAGAAAACTAACTCGCTAAAAAAACGCTTACCAGAAAAAATAATTCAAACCATTTTAACTCTGTCCTGAGAGTTAGAAGGTCTTCATTTAGAAGAATTATGACGCTTCATGGTGAAAGCCGAGTTCCTTCGGAAGCCACGAGGCCGATGCCCCTTCTAACAACCAGAGCAAAAATTTTTATAGGTACATGAAACGTTCGAACAATGTGAGAAACCGGGAAGACCAGTCAAATAGCAACGGAAATGAGGAGATACAACTTAGCAGTACTGGGAATCAGCGAAACCCACTGGACCCAAGCTGGACAGAAAAGGCTAGCTACGGGAGAGATGCTGCTATACTCCGGTCACGAAGAGGACAATGCTCCACACACTCAGGGAGTCGCTCTTATGCTGTCCAAAGTAGCACGAAATGCACTTGTAGGATGGGAATCTCACGGATCCAGAATCATCCAAGTATCATTCAAAACAAAGAAGGAAGGGATCTTAATGAATATTATCCAATGTTATGCAGCCATCAATGATAGCAACGATGACATTAAAGATCAGTTCTACGAGCGGCTGCAGTCAATCATTGAGAAATGCCCAAGAAAGGACCTAACTATTCTGATGGGAGATCTAAATGCCAAAGTCGGAATAGACAACACTGGATATGAAGATATTATGGGACGACATGGACTGGGAGAAAGAAACGAAAATGGAGAAAGATTTGCAAATCTATGCGCATTCAACAAATTGGTCATAGGAGGCACAATATTTCCACACAAGCGTATACACAAGGCTACATGGATCTCACCGGACCACACTACAGAGAACCAAATAGATCATATTTGCATCAACAAAAAATTCCGAAGGACAATGGAAGATGTGAGAACCAGGAGAGGTGCTGATGTAGCTTCAGATCACCACCTAGTTGCAGCCAACTTAAAACTGAAGCTAAAAAAGAACTGGACAAGTGGACAAACAGCAATACAAAGGTTCAATACAGCCTTCCTTCGAGATACTGACAAACTCAATGAATTCAAGATAGCTCTCAACAACAGGTTCCAAGCCTTACAAGATCTACTGAAGGAAGAAGAAACTACTATGGAGGACAACTGGAAAGGCATCAAAGAAACATTGACTTCAACGTGTCAAGAGGTTCTCGGTCTAAAGAAGCACCATCATAAGGAACGGATCTCTACAGAAACATTGGACAAGATCAAAGAAAGGAAGAACAAGAAGGCAGTAATTAACAACAGCCGAACACGAACAGAGAAAGTCCAAGCACGAGCTGAATGAATAGAAGCAAACAAGCAAATGAAGAGGAGCATTAGAGCCGACAGGAAGAAATGTGTGGAAGAATTATCAACGACGGCAGAAAAAGCTGCTAGAGAAGGAAATATGAAACAGCTTTACGATACAACGAAGAAACTATCAGGGAAATACAGTAAACCAGAGAGGCCGGTCAAAGACAAAGAAGGCAAGCCAATCACCGAAATTCAACAACAGCGTAACAGATGGGTAGAATACTTCGAGGAACTCCTGAATAGGCCACCTCCAATGAATCCACCGAACATCGAAGCAGCACACATAGATCTTCCTATAAATGTCAATCCACCAACTACGGAAGAAATTAGAATGGCCGTCAGACAAATCAAGACCGGGAAAGCAGCGGGACCCGACAACATACCAACTGAAGCACTGAAATCAGACATCGAAGCAACCACAAGCATGCTTTATCTTCTATTCAAAAAGATTTGGGAGGAGGAACAAGTGCCGATGGACTGGAAAGAAGGACACCTCGTCAAGATTCCAAAGAAAGGAGATCTGAGCAAATGTGAAAACTACAGAGGCATTACACTACTATCAATACCAGGGAAAGTCTTCAACAGATTGTTGCTGAACCGGATGAAGGATGCAGTAGACGCCCAACTTCGAGATCAACAAGCTGGATTCCGTAAGGATCGGTCGTGCACAGATCAAATTGCAACACTACGGATCATCATCGAACAATCAGTTGAGTGGAACTCATCACTATACATCAACTTCATTGATTATGAAAAGGCATTCGACAGTGTAGATAGGAGGACATTATGGAAACTTCTTCGACACTACTGAGTTTCTGAGAAGATTGTCAACATTATCCGGAACTCATACGACGGATTACAGTGCAAGGTCGTGCATGGAGGACAGCTGACAGATGCATTCCAAGTAAGGACCGGAGTCAGACAAGGCTGTTTACTCTCTCCCTTTCTCTTTCTTCTGGTGGTCGACTGGATTATGAAGACCTCGACATCTGAAGGAAAACACGGAATACAATGGACAGCTCAGAACCAATTAGAAGATTTGGACTTCGCAGATGACCTAGCCCTCCTATCACGTACACACGAACAGATGCAGATAAAGACAGCCAGTGTAGCAGCAGTCTCTGCATCAGTAGGCCTCAACATACACAAGGGGAAAACCAAGGTCCTCAAATTCAACACGGAGAACAGCAATCCAATCACTCTTGATGACGAAACTCCGGAAGATGTGGAATCCTTCACATACCTAGGAAGCATCGTCGATGGACAAGAAGGTTCAGATGCAGACGTAAAGGCGAGGATTGGCGAAGCAAGGGTCGCATTCCTACAATTGAAGAACATATGGAACTCAAAACATTTTTCAACCAATATCAAAGTGAGAATCTTCAATACGAACGTCAAGGCAGTTCTACTGTATGGAGCTGAGACTTGGAGAACTACAACAACCACAATCAAGAAAGTACAAGTATTTATAAATAACTGTCTACGCAAGATACTCAACATCCATTGGCCGGATACCATCAGCAATAGCCTTCTGTGGGAGAGAACAAACCAACTTCCAGCTGAAGAAGAAATTAGGAAAAGACGATGGAAATGGATAGGACATACATTACGCAAATCGTCAAACTGCATCACGAGGCAAGCCCTAACTTGGAATCCTGAAGGGAAGCGGAAAAGAGGAAGGCCAAAGAACACATTACGTCGGATAATAGAAGCAGATATGAAAAGGATGAATTACAACTGGAAGGAGCTAGAAAGGATTGCCCAGGACAGGGTTGGATGGCGAATGCTGGTGAGCGGCCTATGCTCCTTCACGAGGAGTAACAGGCGTAAGTAAGTATGTAAGAAGACACTTAAAGTTTAGTAAAGCTATTAGATATAAGA